AAGCGAGTCAGAAAATGACTTAACAAGGAAAAGGAATTAATTTGCAAATTATGCATGCATATAGGTCATAATCCGGGAGGAACAAGCGCTCCGCTATAGCACAATGAGTACTAGTACTGGAATTGTACATTTACTTACCGTTAATAATTCTTATTATTAACGCTCTGTTCTTCACAAGTTAATTACGTTAATATTAATAAATGATTGGAAATTCTGTGTACATCCGTATAACTCTGGAATCACTCTGCTCTGTTAATATCTGGGCCCGAGGCCAGTCTGTAAAATCTGTTAGGCCAGAGGCCAATTTGTAAAATCTGTTAGGCCAGAGGCCGATCTGTAAAATCTGTTAGGCCTAAGGCCGTTCTGTATGTTACTGGGCTTAAAGCCACTCTGTTTAAAGACTGGTCCCAAGGCCGTTCTGGAAATAGTTACAGAATCAGATTAACCATATGTTCTCTGCATTTATATACGCATTGATATGCATTATAATTCAAGTTGATCATTAAATTGTTTAGGTACTATTATTCATTGAGCCTGGCTCACTCTGTATTTTGTCTGCTTCTGTAGGTAATCAACCTGGAGGTCAGTCTTAACCCCTGATGCTCGTCTCTTTTTTGTCAACCTCAGTGTGTCCAGGCACTTAGATGAAGCCCGTGCATTTTTGTGAAGTTTTGCTAGGCTTTTGGCTTTGTACTCTAATTGTCTGCCTAAGGTTGAAATGTATATAACCCATTTCTTCACCAATGTTTTTGTTATATGCCCAATTATGGGGCTGGGTCTATGTATGTGTATGTATATAACTGATTCTCAGGTGTATGGTCACGGTATGTTATCTACCTGATGAGATGATTTGTGATTCTGGCATATTAGTGATAGCTCAATGGATATTATTGTATGTTATTAAATGCTTCCGTTCAGGCCCCATATGTTGTGTATATCGAATGAAGTGTTCGTTTCTGAAATGGTCATGCCCAAACTTTTAGGGACGAGTTTGGGGTGTGACATGATGTCACTCCCATAATTTCAAGAAGAGGAAGCCAATATCTATTTGTCTTATATGTGCAATCCATAATCAACACACGAGAGAATGTATGAAGCAAATCCAAACTCACTAGATGTGCCCAAAACAAGTCTGTGACAGTCATTGTCACGCCTTCAAAATAATACATATAAACCCACATTCTTGACATGTATAGACATAAGAGAATAAAGCATATTTCTATTTATCAGAGTATTCATTACAAAAGTATTACATGTTGACAACAAAAGTAAATGCCCTACGGGCTTACAACTTTCTAAGCCAACACTTGGTTACAAAAGAAGAGAGTACTAACTCAAATACACATTAAGCCCGTGGCTTGAGTTTACATGTAATATCAAAAGAGAACAACAAAAAGAGCTATCAATCCCAAGCCTCCCAAGCTACGTCCTTGGAGGTGGCATATCACCTGAACTTGAAAATGATGTCCCATATAGGGTGAGCCAATGCCCAATAGAGATATACTAAGCCAAGTATGAAATATGACTAAAACAATAGCATTTGATAGATGGTTAACACTTATGAACCAACTTATAACACAATCCAGTTTCATGACAATTAGTCCATGTTTCATTCCACTTTCCTTTACTTATACAATTTCGTTCATAAACATGGCTCAGAACCTGGCCAAACAATTCTATGAGACTATAACTCATTTTAAAACATTTCCATACTTCACAGTTCACATGAGATAACAACTCATATTAAAACACTTCCATACTTCAATAAGTACACATATTTGCTGTACTAATGGAGTCCATCCCCTATCTCCTCCCAAACAGGTTTGAGAGTCCATCCCTTATCTTCTCTCAAACCATGGAGTACATCCCCTATCTCCTCCCACACAATACAATGTATATAAACAATTATCATATACATGATCAATCAATACATATATTCGATGTATTATTCCAACCGTCATATTCAATGACATATTCAACCGATTAGTTTTAATTCACCTAATCATCATACAATGTCTACAACAATCAAGACTATCCTCCACCGATAGCCCAAAGCCGTTATTTCTAAATAGAAAATAAATGCATTAAACAGATATAATATCAACATTTATATAGGTGAGCGATTAATCAATCCAACTGCACCATTCAATCCCATAATTTCCCAATTCCATTATTCTCGACTCAATTTCACGTTTCCCCAAATTAATTTATTACAATAATTAGGGCATTTCCCCTTTTTCTCAAATATTGATCCTAAGACCAAATTCCACCAATTTAACTCTCAAGCCCATATTCCCAAGGCTTTAAATACACATGGAGCTTAAAAACACAAAACCCCTCTTTTATAAATTACAAACCAAACCCTAGCTTTTCCCAAAATTACCCAACAACACTAACTAATCTAAATGACTAACATTTACGTCAAAATTCATAAGATGGAGTAGGGTATCCCCACCTCGAAATTAGAAGCCCAAAGGAGAAGATTGTGAAAACCCAAAGTGCTCCAAATCCATAACTTTTCAGGTTAAAGTGAAGCCCTCGCGACCCTCTATCTTTCTTACAAAGAGATTTGGGAAGAAGATCACTAAAAATAGATAAAACCTTAGAGAGAAGGTGTATAGAGAGAGAGAGGGAGAGAACGGATTTAGGGTTTGAGAGAAAAAGGAGATGAAAAAGTGAAGTGTATTCCCGCTGCTGTCAACTGAAATACACCAGGCTCACTCGAGCGAAGGAGTGGTCGCTCGAGCGACCAGACACAAAGGATACTCGCTCGAGCATAGAAAGCCTCGCTCGAGCCAACAATTCGAAGCTTCAGGTCTGCAATCAGAAGCACGCTCAAGCAAAGAAAAACTCGCTCGAGCGAAGAAACCCAAAACATAGACCTCGCTCGCTCGAATGAAGGAAAGTTAGCTCGAGCCAAGAAATGCAACTCTCAGGTTCAGAACCAGACGTAGACACAAGCTCGAGCGCAAGACTTCTCGCTCGAACCACCAGACACAAAACTCAACTATCGCTCGAGCGAAGGAACCCTGGCTCGAGCGAAGGATCTAAAACAAAGAGCTCGTTCGAGCGACAAAAGCCTCGCTCAAGCGAATGAGCAAAATTCTGGACAGCAACTATTGGTTTAAACTCACAACCAACCTGTAACAAACCTGCCCAACACATCCTAAAACTCAAATATATGGAATTAAAGGATGACAACAAGATATATACAACAACCAACTTCATGGAACTTAAGTCCGGATACAACAACCAAAGGAGAAAGAACCGGGATCGCTATAGTCATAGAGCCTTCCTTACATCGATGACGCTCAATGTACTTATGTTTCGCTAATTCACCTAGTAGTTGTTGCATCTAGGATCTACTAGCTTTCTGTAGAACCCTACATCGATGTCGTACATTGTAAACTGTCTTCATTGTGCTCATATTAAGGGCATCCCTCTGTTTAAGTGTAATGAGTATCTCTTTTGGTCTTACTAGGCTCTTTGAAATATCTACTAACAATGACTTTTCATTAGCTGACAATCTCCCTGCATATGAATGTCCTTGGAGATGCTCTGCAGTTAGATGATTATGCAGTCCACAAACTACATTCAATATCCATTCATCGTTTGTTTTCAACTTGTATGCCTTCAAATCAAATAGACATTCACACTTCTTCGTACCAGTTTGTCTCAATAAGTCTTTTGAGCCATCTTTCAACTTTTTACGTGATCTATACTTCCCACTCCGCTCACAAGCAAGATAAATTCTTGGTCTCTTGGTACCGCCACCATAGTCCGACGTCCTTATAACAATAACAAAGCCATTTGCCCTTCTAATATCACGTACCCATGTGAGCAATTTATCTTTGCTATCGAAAACCTATATATAATGTCACACAACTTTCATAAGAACAAACTAAACAAACTAATTAATAAAAATTATGAACTTACGAAATTCATGTTAAAGGTTACATGTTTAGCAGAAAAATGACTAGTACAATCCACTATAATATCCGATCGAACATCAGTTTCTTCAGTGGATGCGATCTGAAGAAAACAATTTTCATTCAGTTGTACAGAGCTGAAAATAAAAGAATAATTCGGCACTAAAAAGCCAGAAATAATAGAATAATTCGGTACTACAGAGATGAGAAAAAGGAAATAATTCGGCACTCTATAGCCGAAAAAAATTATAAAATTCGGCACTTAAAAACAGAATTAAATCTCAAGTTTCAGAATTTAAGTATCAAATTTTTTCAAAAATTCGAAACTTATATATCGAAATATGACTATTATTTCAAAAGTTGATTTTTGAATATTTTGATAAAATTCCACACTGACTATCCGACTAAAAAACGCAAAAATAAAATAAAAATTACTACACGAAAAAACAAATTTAGCATTGATTTTGGTGTCATTAGATATATTTTTGCTTGAGTTTGAACTTCCATAGGTTTGTAACTCTTCGATATAAAAATCAAGCAAAAATTGTGAAACTAATAATTAAATGATGTAAATAGTAGAGTATAAACCTAGAGATTAAAGCAATATGAGAAATGTTTCCATAATATTGCACAGAGTGTGTAACAAACAAAGTGACCATAATAGAAAAATTGGGTTTAACTGTTTTCATTCAAAAGGTGTATATTGAGATATTTTTGTTCCTAAAATATGTGTTTAGAGAATTTATGTATATAATATTAGGGGTGTTGATAAATGTCTTGTCACGCCCCAAACCCGCCCCTAAAAGTTTGGGCATGACCACTTCAGAAACAGACATTTAACTTGATATATATATATGACATATGGGGCCTGAACGGAAGCATTAATATTTTAAAATAACAGAAAACCATCTCCATTGAGCTATAACTACCATGTCAGGATCACTAACTGAACATAAGGCAAATAAACATACAGTGACGTGCATCTGAGAATTTAGCTATATGCTTATACACATACATATACAGACCCAGTCCTCAAGATTGGGCGTATAACAAAAGTATTGAAAGGTAAAAGGATTATACACACTTCCTCTTTAGACAGACAATCAGGGTACAAAATCAAAAGTTTAGCAAAACTCCGTAAAATGAGTTGCCTTCATCTAAGTGCCTAGACACCCTGAGGTTGACATAAGAGGAACGGATGCCTTGGGTTGAGACTGACCTCCAGGTGGAGTGCCTACAGAAATAGACATAACATAAAGCGAGCCAAACTCAGTGAATAGTAGTACGTAACAATTTAACAATTAACTTGAATTACAATGTACATGTATAAGGGCGGAGGACATATAGTTAGCTTTATCCTGTAATTATTTTCAGAATGGCCTTAGGCCTATGGTTTTCAGCCCTTAAACAGAATGGCATTAAGCCCTTAAACAAACGGCATTAAGCCCTTAAACATACGACATTAAGCCCTTTTCATGCATGTACGAACTCAAGAGGTGGCTCACACGGATTCTAGAGGTGACTCACATGGAAGCACTTAGTTCCGTGCAGCACTTTGTTTCATACTAACAGATCATACAGAATGACCATAGGCCCAGATGTCACAAATTGGCCATAGGCCTCACAAATGTTACAGAACGGCTATAAGCCTCATAACTTTCACAGAACGGCCATAGGCCTCATAACTTTCACATTGGCTTTAAGCCCAGTTCGCATATGTATGGACTCAAGAGGTGGCTCGTACGGATTCTAGAGGTGGCTCGCATTGCAGTACTTAGTTCCATACAACACTTTGTTCCATACCAGAAATCATTAGGTCTTAAAGACCGAACCATCGATATCATGTCAGAGCATAGCATAACTGGCACAGATAAACAAATCAAATTCATATACTTGAACCACGGTATTATTACCCCCGGTCAAGGGCCATAAGACCACGGTATTCTTACCCCCGAGTAAGGGCCTTGTGCTAAGGATGCCATGAATACCTATATATATATATGGACAATCATTCATTAAGTCAAAACGTAACATATCAGAAAATAGAACATTTCTTACCATATCATGTCATTACAGTACGCTTAACAAAGACAGAACAATTTACATTCTAACGTGGGTTACATAATGATGTTAAACCTTTGCATTCATGTCATAGATTCTAAACGACCTCGGGTCCATACGTAACACAACAGAATAATCTTGGATTCATACAGATACCATTGTTCAAGGATGAACATAAGTTCCATTTATTCTTTAAGAAGTAACGTAGTATGCTGATAAATAATAGAGGGTTAATATTTGTTATTGATAGAACAAAAGAATTCCAAAGTCATACTGATGTGCTCAAATCTTTCAATGTTCATATAAGTTCACACTGATTTCCAATCGTCATAAATGTTTGTGTACCACTTACGAAGAACAGAGTGTTAGTGACAATAATTATCAACAGTAAATAAAATATACATTTCTGTACTGCTACTCACAGTGATCGGCTCCCGGTAGCAATGGGACGGTGTCCTCGTTTCGACCTACAGCACAGTACACAACACATAATATGAGATTATACTCGATCTTTTACTTATTCTCTTTGATCATTCGATCAATTAGCCATGGTGGTACCAAGCTCATTATTCCTTAATAAGTTATAATCCATGTCTCAGAAAACAGGAGAAGTTGATGGGAAATGATTTAGGTGAAGAAATGGTACAAAACTGGTTGACAAAAAGTTAACAGTTGTCACTAATTTGGGCAAAACTATTTCTGTATTTAGAATTTGGGAGTGAGACCACTGCCATTGGAAACTAGACTTCTGGGGCTTGATTTTAGGCTCAAGAATCACTCAAGATGGAGTCCCGAGGAAAAAGATATGCTTATTCAAAGTTGGCTGAACAAAGCTGTCTCCCGCACATGCGGGAAACAGAGCCGCACGTGCAGCTCTGGGCAGTTTGCTGTTCGAAAATGGCTCTTTTTTCTCCAACACTTGGTTTTTCCATTTTTAAACTTGGTTCTTAACATAAATCACTCAAAAACATGTAAAATTATCTCATAACATGATAAACTAACATCAATCAAGTGTAATTCCATTTTAAACAAATCAATCTTTCCCTCAAAAATAGAAATTCAAGTCTCATCTTCTATATAATCAAGCTTCTATAATATATACTCCAAAATCATACAAATACATCTTACACATGGTTGATCTTCACACCACAACTTGGTATTCCATGAATCATTCTTAAGATTGAACCCAATTCATGCAAATTTAAAGAAATCAAGGTTTAATTCCTTGAGTTTAACTCATTTCATTCATAACCCAACACACTTGCTCATTTGCATATTAATTTTCCCCAAATCCATCATTGATTTCATGTAGTAGATGCATTGTTTACAAAGATAATAGTTGAAGCCACATACCTAAACTTAATTCCTTGTTTTTCCCCTTTAATCTCTTCAATTTTCCAAGCTTCCATGGATGATCTTCTTTCCCTCTCTATCTCTCTTTCACGGTTCTCTCTCTCCCTCTCCCTTAGATATTTTATTTGACTTCAAAATGATAAAACCCTCAACTCACATGGCCTATCCATATATGTGTATATCACATACTTAAGCTTAACACAAGGGAGAGCCAAACGCGGCCTTACGAATCGCGCAAAATTAAATTTCAATTAAACTTTCCAGATGACTCCAAAAATTATGATGATCATAAATATGCCCCCTGTTCTGGTTTCTGAAGCCTTTAAGGCCTTCAATTTGCAGTACCAAATTAACCACCCAAACGTATATTAACGAATCAGACAAATTAGATTTCCAATTAAGTTTCCCAAATAGTTCTAAAAATTTCAATTAACACATCCAAGTCCTCAATTGTGATTTCGGAACCCGTAAAGGTCGGTAATTTCAATTTTAAAGCCGTGGCTCAACAGATAATTCCTCAATTTAAACACATATCATTAAATTAAAATGCATTAACCCATAAGGCTGTAAAGGTAATATTTAATACGGATTTTGGGGTCGTTACACTAATAAAAGTGAGTAAAGACAAAATTTAATATCAAATTTCTTCAAAAATGCTTATTATTACTTAAAAATTATGCTGATCTCAGATGTAAAATCAATTTCAGGTAATTAAGCCTCTAAAGCTTTCAATTCATGATTCAATCATTATAATTGTGACAAATGCTTTCCTTACCAAACCGATAGAGGTTTCAATTTATAAGAGCCATGTGCTTAAACTAAATTTCTCGAGAGATTTCACATTAAACATTTAAATGCACAGAACAAGGGACTAAATTATGCCAGAAACACATACAAGGGTCGGGTTATTACATGTCTATTATAGTAATTTTTAATTAAGATATAATTGTCATTAAATTAATTTTTTATTAAATGTGTGCCTTGAGTTTATCAGGTGAGTGGAAATACAATTTCCCTAGAATCACCCTTATGAAAAACTTAAAATTTGATATACCCTACCATGTTTTTACCTATTGTTTCCTGATTTAATTTCAATTATACCCAAAAACACATATTAATTAGTTATTATTATCCTTATAGTCATCTCTATCTCTCTCCTAAATTCTCCAAAATTCAGCAGAAGCTCCAAAGCTTATGCTTACTAAAACCAGACTCACTTTCACAACCAAATTCGCAAACATTTTCAGAGGGACAAAGCTCATCGACGATCGTCTTTTCATCTCAAACTCTCTCTGTCACTACTATTTCAGTTCTCTATTCGGTAATTTCACTCTTGATTCTCTGTTTTTTTTGTTGTTTTGATCTCAATCTCTACTTATTTTCACAAGTATAGATTGATTAGGTCATATTTTTCAATATCAACATTGTCTTCAATTCTTGATTCCTTTAATTCCGTCTCCAATTTTTATTTCAATGTTCTTAATTCACTCTCTCTCTCTAGAGGCACACAGAAACACACACACTCTCTCTCGCTTTCTCTTAATCACGAATTGATTCCGAGCCACAGTGATGTTAGTTACACGAGCACCAATCGATTGATTCCGAGCTTGGCATTTGATTCTAATTCCGAGCTTCGAGTTCGATTCTGATTCTGAGCTCCTTCCATGGATTTGATTTCTTTGTGAGTTTCTAACTTATTTAGTTTCCTCTCATTCTAGAAGTGTTTTTAGGTTGGTGCAATTGGTGTGTTAGGTTAAATGACAGTGAAATGATTGTCAATGATGGATTGGAATTAATTATGTGATTTTTTTGTGATGTTTCTCTGTGATTTGATTGAGTTAATTTTGAAAGCAAGGGTCTTCATTCAATTTTTGTTAACCATTTCTGATTTGATTTTTGTCTTCATTTTGGTTCTCCGGAGAAATTTAGAGTATGAATTGTGACTTATTGAGTTCCTCATGAAAATCAAACTTGCATTCATCTTTGTAATTTCATATGGTACTCTTTCCTTACCATTTGACAATCATTTGTTGACATTGTGGAAAACTTCCATTCATTTTGAAAGTAAATGTTGCTCTATTTCTGCTTCAAATGGCAATCATATTACTTAGAAAAGGCTAAACAGATTGTGGCTTACTGTTTTCTGCATCGCATAACTAGTTTAGTCTAGGTTCACCCAAGGTTGGAGCACAAAATGTTGGTACATATCATTGAGTTAGCTTGAAAACATTGTCTTTTGTTTAGTGATATGGATAGTCTGAGGGGATAAAACAATATTTGGATATAAGAGAAGCTAGGATTTTGGTTCTCAATTGGACTTTTTATATGTGGATTTTGGTTCTCATTTGTATGTGGATTCTCTGGAAACGCTGGTTAGTTTTTTTTTTTTTTTGTTGGAATTCTTCAATTTGTTTCTCAGAGAATATATATGCTTTGTAATTCCTAACCATGAAATAGCTTAGATTTAGAAAAGATGTTCATTCTCTTCTGGGGTTATATTTTGTATGTTGCTATGGAACTCTATTCCATATGTGATGTATTTAACTGATTTTGAAGTTAGTTTTCATTGAGATAAACGTTCTTATTACTTCAATTATTTCTTTTGAAGTCAGTTTTCCTGTGATATTCTACATTTCTTTCTTTGTTTTTTGTTTTGTTGCTTTTACATTCTTATTATTGTGTCAATTATTTCGTATTCAACATATAATGTTTGTTTTTGCTATATATGGTATAGAAACAATGGCAGTTCCTTTGATTACCAAGAAGATTGTGAAGAAGCATGTGAAGCAGTTCAAGAGGATCCAAAGTGACTGGAAGATCTCTGTGAAGGTAAACTTTCTGTCTACACTATTTTATTATTGGCAGATAAAGAACTGCTACTCTGTTACTCTGTTTGCATTGAATGTAATTGCTGGTTGAGTTTCATTAGAATGCAGAATATTCCTGTATATGCGTGCACACATTTTATTACTTCATTTTTCAGATCTATTGTACAACTAATATTATATCCTGAAGTTTTGTTGGATGTCTTGAGCACGAGAATTGTTTATAGCATGCTTATTTTTGTGTAGGACTATGTGTTTCGTGTTGTATTGATTGTCCCAAATGTAGTCCTTTCAGAGATAATTTGGCAAGTTCAAGGGTTGAACTATTTCTGCTATAATTATTATTGATGTTTATTGGTTGGTTTAAGTTTTTAGAATATTGTTCATTCCTTGTTCAGTGCCTGATCAACCAAGAGTATGCTACACATATACATTTACAGTGTCTATCTGAGTGCATAACAAAAGGTAGAATTGATATTATTTTTGAGTGAGGGGAAAATCTTTGCGATTGGTGATTGTTGTTTGAGTGTTGGAGCATTTGAGGTCAAGTGGATGAAGTATATTTTACATTCTGGTGTAAATAAATTTCATCTTCACACAAATTGAAATTTTGAAGCATAATTTATTTCCTTCCTGGAAAGACATTTGTAATTAAGAATGTGGCGAGTTTCAGTTTACTCAAGGTTTCTTGGTTAAGGATGTTGCATATATATTTTTATTTATGCCAATATTTTATTTGGTTCCATGGATGTTTGCATATGCTCATGTGCATTTGAACCTTGGACCGTTTTATTGGCTCTGTTGTTCAAGTTCTGTTAACTGGTTAAAGAAAATGCTTGCGTTTCTTTAGCTTGTCTTTTTTAATGGTTAATGTTTTGTTCGCTAACATATGATTTTTTTTGTTTTGTTTGATGCATGTAATTGTGTATGACAGCCAAGCTGGCGCAAGCTCAAGGGTATTGATTCCCCGTGTGAGGAGGAAGTTCAAAGGATGCGTTCTCATGCCTAACATCGGTTATGGTTCAGACAAGAAGACTCGCAATTATCCTCCTAATGGGTTTAAGAAATTCCTTGTCCACAATGTCAAGGAGCGGGAAATTTTGATGATGCACAATAGGTGACGAGTTTTTTCTTGAATTAATTGCGTCATAATAAATAATCTTCGTCTTTCTACCATGCTCCCCAATCCTGTACAACCCTGATTCCTAATATATCTTTTATTTCAAGATAATAATGACCTGAATTTGTCACTCATCATCACAACTTATGGATTGTTGTAATTTCAGGACTTACTGCGCTGAAATAGCACACAATGCGTCGACTCAGAAAAGGAAGGAGACTGTTGAGCGTGCAGCGTAGCTGGATATTGTTGTTACCATCAAATTGGCCAGGTTGCATAGCCAGGAAGATGAATGATCATTGGCGCAGGATATTAGATATGTATTTGCCTTGGATTACTCACTTTGCATTAGGTGTATCACAACTTTGGATCATTCTGCTTTTGTGGGAATTTTTGTTTTAAATTTTATGGTTTTGTTGCTAAATCTGTTGCTACACTTAGCTGGTTACAACGTTTGTTGCTTATGTCTTGTTTAATGATTAAGCCGTGAGATTTCATGTTTTTTAAATATATCTGGTATCTGTGGTGATAATTTTATGCTTGTTATATAGAAGATGCTCTGCAAGGCTTCACTGATTTGTTCAAGAAAATTCCCATTCAAGTTTTATGTTTTCTAGCTGGTGCATTAGGACAACTGAGCTTGCCTGCCTTCCTACATATTCTTTTTTTTTTTTTTTTTTTAATTTTTATGTTGGTAGTTACATTGTGATTATTGTTTTTAGTGTTAAAAGTCATTGTGATTATTGTTTCTACGGCATACAAAATTATTTCATAAAAAGTGTAATAATTTATGACATGCAAGAAAATGCCGTAAAAGATTATATATGGCATACAAAGTATGTCATAAATATATTAAAAATGACCTTCTACGACATACAAAATTATGTCGTGAAAGTGTGATAATTTATGACATACAAAAAAATGTTGTAAAATATTATATACGGTATACAAAGTATGCCATAAATATATTCAAAATAACCTTTTATGGCATGCAAAATTATGCCATGAAAAATATGATGATTTATGGCATGACAAAAATGTCGTAAAAAATTATATACACCATACAAAGTATGTCGTAAATGATGCTCAACTTTCCATGGCATGTCATATAACGACATTTGTGTGCATGTCGTGAAAGAGTTTTTACGGCATGCATTGCAAGCTGT